CAGTGTCCAGCCGGACCCCACCCTCATAGGAGCACCCCGTTGCCTCCGGAGTACCTAACCCCCGCCAGGAGGGATTTAAACCTCCCAGCAGCTCTGAGGATGGGAATCCGTACCCCGAGGGGTCCGTCAGCACTGGAGCCTCTGAAGCGGAAAGGTTACCTCCCGTGGATGTGTGGGGGATTCCAGGTGGCACCCGGCCAGGACTCCAAGGAGTCCTGTGAAGCAATTGTCATGTGTTGCAACAAAAACAAAGTGGTTAAGTACTGGTGTGTTAATTTTGACTGATGTTTATTCCTCTGATGTTAGTTATTTTTTTTTCCAGGAATATCTTCATTTTTTGTCTTGCGTTAACCTTGAATCCCCGTATGATTTTGCAGTCATGAAAGATTTTAAAAGGATCTACACATCTGCGTTTAACAAGTGGTTTCTCATCAAATTTCACAAAGTAAGTACCCAGGTAGTAGATGAGACCTAATTTAAAATAAGTCAAATCTCCTCAGACTCAACTGCAGGACTACCGTAACAAAATACACCAAAGTACTTAAAAAGGTATCTTATTTCATAGCCAATATTCCAGTTTGATGGCTAAAGAGCAAAACCATACATCTCCATTGCAGTGTTTCAACATTTCTACTGTCATTTTATTTTTCAAATAGAAACAAGTCAAACTTTCAGTTTGAACTTTAAACAGAATATTGATGGAGAAACTACCAGTTTATGTATCTCGGTATGCGACGTTGCAGACTTTCTGCCACACTTTATTTTTTAAATGGAAAACTACTTAATATCAATTCTTGAAAACTTCCGTGATTTTCCTTCTCGGTGCTGTGAAAGTTCTATGATAACTTCAAGGAAGAATGTTGATTTGTTCTCCCTCTAAAAAATAAAATGGGAGAAGAGATTTTTGGACACCGCAAACAAGTTACGATACCAGGTCTGGTAGTTTCACTGTCAATATTCTGCTCATAGAGAAGAAAAATCAAGGAAGTTTACATATTTCCTGGGAATCAGCACCTAAATAAAGCTGTGCTTCAACATTCTTGAAAGATATTAAGTATACATCTGTGCAAAAGTTGCAAACTGAGCTTGGAAATGCCATCAAAGTTCTCTACCCGTCATCATCCAATAGATAGCACTTTATAGAATTATCCATCAAATAAATTATCCAAAACCATTCAGGAAGTTGATAGTGTTAAGGAAATGTTGGTTAATCTTGGAGGAAAACAATATTATGCTTTCTCCCGGAAATTTTAGGAGCTACCTTGGCCAAAAAGCCCAATTTTCAGGAGCTAAATCAACTTTTTGCTTTCACATCACGGTGCATGAAATTGCGAGTTCAGAAAAACCGGCAAGGTGTGTCACCTTTTTAAGGCACAACGATGGCGGTGCCCTCCAATTTTCAGATGTAAAAGTTCAATTTATAGGAGCGTGGAGCAATGAATAAAAGTTCTTCCTAATCCATGCATCTAACTTTTTCAAATTGTTAAATCTTTTTGTTGTGATCCCAGCCAATTCATCATCAAGCAATCTACGATAGTCATTTTTTTTAAAGAGAAAAGTTTCAGTGTCACCCGGTCTTCTTCCACACCTATACCAATGCTTTTCATTCAATTTTTTTCAGTTCAAATCCGAGAGAATACATTGTTGGGATGAAGAAACACCTAAGGATATTCCAGCAAATGCTACTGATGTCTTTATGAAAGTGCAGGTTATTGACTCAAACTATTGTGTTGGTTCAGTAATGTTCCTATTTGAAGGTAATTCATTCCCGTCTCATTGTTTTATTTTTCTTTTAGGGTAAAAATTGTTGTTACTAACTCTAAGTCCAACAGAGAATGGTACGCTTTGTTAGAATTGAATGGATGAACATAATTGAATCAGCGAAACTCTCTCATAAAAATGACTAGCAGAATAGTGTCAAAATGTTTTTATGGATTGCCTGTAGACTCAATGGGGAGAAAATTTCCAGACCAAAATAATCAAAATTACCTGAAGTTTCACATTGGCAATTTTACATGCGTAGAACTGAGAATGAAAATTTTTCGGAAACAATTTTGCTACATATGACGGACAATGTGAACCTTTTTTTTTCCAGCATTAATCATTTAATCATCAGAGTTTGCAATACCATATGGAAAACTATTCCTCTCCAAAGCATTGAGCACCGACCCAGATGGAAACTCAGTTTGATTGTGTGGACAGCGCTGATGTTTTTCCTTGTTATAATGTTCCTAGATTTTTCAACTTTACAATCTTTTTTGTCAAATTCCTTGACTTCTCTCTGATTTTGTGCCAATTCCTGGTTTTCCAAACTTGTAGACATACTGGAACATGGCAGTTGAATTTTCTACTGATAGATGACCTTTTTACATATGATCAAACCATGAATAATTTCAAGCCATCCCTTGTAACAAATCAAACTTAAAGGCAGTAGAAAAAAGTTGTAAGAGCTATTTTTGCATCTAGTGCAATCATTTGACATTTTTTTCCTTTCTCATTCATTGCTTTTATTAAATTTATTCCAAAACAGGAACAGCTGGTAATTACTTGTACGCAGGCAATTTTCGGTATTATGAGAAACTTTTAGATGAGCCATGCCTACAAAAGTATCGCTATAAAGCTAGTGTAAGTAAAAATCTCAGATAAATTATTTTTGACTAAAAAGATATGTTCTTTAAGTTTTCCAAAAGTCTTGTAAAAATTATTTTATTCGGCTTTTTACTAAAATTAAATATTAAAGGAAAGATTTAATTAATCAAATTAGATTCTTTTTGTGAAAAATATGTTTTTGAGTTCTTATTGTTAGTTCAAAAGTTTAGTTACTTTGTCCAGTTTTTTGCTTTCCCACCAACGACCATCCATTCAAACTACCGCTCCTAGGTAACCATGCAAGTGTTCTACATGAAAAAATGTCAACATTTTACTGGCGATAAATTATTAGGTATTCCGCATGTGGGCCTTTGAAGATGCTCATTCAATTGTAACAAAGATAACTGGAACGCACAGTATACTTAATTGCTCCTAGCCCTAGAAAACTTTTCCCTTGTTCATATACATCTCACACTCAAGTACAGAGTTAGAATCTGATTAGTTCATTAGAATGATGGACTTTGATTTTTACCATAATGTTGTTTTTTTTGTCTTCCCAGGATTTGTTCGTCCTGTACCTTCATTCCCCATATCCTGTCGACAGATGTCCGTCATTTGAATCAAAAAACACTGTGATGTTTAAGATCTTAGAATTTGCCTTGTAAGTGTTACTAATTACCTTTACAAATAGTACTGAGTAAGTTTGCATGAGGTCTCAAGATTCAATTACGCTTAAGAAACTATCCAATTTGGCTCTCTGATCAAGTGAGACAGTACGAGTAATTCAATCTGTTCTACATGATGCAGCTCAGGGCCGAATTTTGTTGGTCCTCTCTCCGTACTTAAATATACTCAGGATGAGTCTAGACTCTCAACTGCACTTAAATCTGGCTTAGCACTTCTGATTGGCCGGTGGTGCGGTTTGGACTCATCGATGGATGTTGCGTCTCCATATGAAAGAGGTGACTAAATTTGGCCCCAGCTTGTGCATATGAATGAGCGATTTCGTCGTGATTTCCATTTTTCATCCAATGCAAGGAATTGGAGTGCTTACATAATAGGTAGGAGGACTATTTTTTCCTCCTATGTATTATCATTGATAAAATAAATTAATTATTTTACCTTGTATTTATTCGATGCCAATTCGTATCTATTCAATAAGGAATTTTTGCAGGTTTTTAGCATGATTTTTTTTGTAAAATTTCATAAAAAACCAAAAAGTTGACAAAATCATTTCTAAGAGGAGAAAAAGCTAATCCAAATCCGATCAATCAAAAGCCAAAAGTTGGTTTGACGTAGTAAGGCAATGCCCGAAGCTGAGTTTAGCCAATCAGCAAGTGCTATTTCCCCGGCCTGGCAACGTCATCAGAGCCCACCAAAAATATCGTCTCAAGCAGGTCCCATTTTTCAAAATGGGTTTTTTTTTGGCATTTATGTTTAAAAATCTGAAAAAATTTCCTGAAACTTAGGTACTTAGCTCACCCTGAACTCTCAGAAAATGAATTTTAAAAAATGGGTGCCACTGACCCGTTCAGATGTTTAAGGAAGAATTGGACCGTGTTTAGCAGAAAGGGACCAAGCCTCATCAGCTTTCGCTAAATTTAATTAGGCAATTTAATTTTTTACAAGAGAACGTTTGTGCGGATTCCTCTAAAAAATTTGAGGAATTTGCTTCGTACTATGCAAAAATGTCACTGAAATATTCCCAAAAATCTGCACAACCGTTTTCTTGTAAAGTCTTCAATTCCCCAATTAAAATTGGCAATGGCTAATGTGGTTCCTTTCTGCGTAACGCAGTTAAATTACAGTTAGACAGAGTCAGCTTTTAACTATCCTCAATGCATGTGGCAACAGTTAAACAACACAGAGTCCAGTATTTTACCAAGCTTTCGACTTTACTTTTACTGTCTTATTGTATTTTTAAACAGGTGCTATCCACTTGATCATTTCATTTTTGTTTCTCCGCATATTGGAAATGAAGAATTGTATGTGGCCCTCTCGCAGGAGTTAGGGGTGAGTAAATAATGAGAATGAAAATCTACCCAGTGCAATTAATTATTGATCATCTGTTCTCATCTTTTACTTATAGTATATTCCTTTTTTCAAACAAACTACAAATGCATTTCACACATTTCTCGTGTCTGGTTCCCAAGTCCCAGTTGGGTTGTGCTTTGAGAAAAGAGGGCTGGTGAAAATTAGAAGAAAAAAGTATTGCGTAGCTTTTAGATGGCCTTAAAAATTTGCATGTCTACCAAAGCTCTATTTCTGAGAAGCATTTCGTATTTTAAGAGCAAAGTAAAAAAACCCCAGGAGTTTGCACTGATTTTGTTGAATCTCTGAGATTAAGCATACACCTCATTCAACTTGTCATTTCTTCTACTGTCTCTGGAGAATGGTAATTTTTGCTGCTTTATCACTCTCATAATGTTGATAATTTCAGGTGAGAATTTATGTGAATTCTAAACAATTGAAAATATTGAAGCATCTGAAGTTGGATCAATACTTTACAGATGATGACGAAGAAGCACGAATCTGGGTCGTAAATGTGTCTGAACTCAAAGAGATTCAAAAGTAAGTATCCCTTAGCATTTAGAGAGTAAAGTTCAGAACCCAACATTGGAATTGTGTTTTTAATCAACCTTCAGTATGTTGATGATTTTCAATGAAGCGGTGACTCAAAAGAATGTCCTTGCCATTTGGTCTTGGGGATTTTTTATCTTTTGATCAATAATTTGGACTGAAAAAATTTGGCATACGTTTGACACTTGGTTAATCAAACATGGTTACATCGATTTTATAGGTATCTTTATCCATGCCAATAGACTTATCTGTGCTTAGAAATTTTTCGCCTTTTGAGCTTATAATTTGCAAAATTGTCCTCACCATCACTGGATTTTCTAAATTATGTTAAATGATCCGGTTTTCGTGAAATAGTGTGAATTATGTTCTTTTACCATGAAAATGTGTGCAAGGGGCAGAAAATCAAAACTTGCTGCAAAAATGAAAGAAGTGGCACAACCTATGTGCAAAAAGCTCAAGTTACTTTTTGAGTTTTTGTAAAAAGGGCGTAAGAGATCCACTATTTCACGAAAGGGCATACAAGACAATTACAAGAGGTAAAAATTTGTTTGGTAACTAGGCACAATGTATCCGATTCAATTGCAAAATGGGCATAATTAGAACCTGCACCTAAAATAAATCCTTACTACCTAGTCCCATTTAAACTGCCATCAAAATACAATTACAGAAGACTCAAGATGCAAAAAATTACCATGGCGGAAATGAAGCTAAGGAATCAAATGAATAAATTCATCATTTAGGCCATGCGTCAAAACTTTATGTTTGAATGATCATTAATATGGTTTTATAATTTATTTATTTTTCAAGATTTGGAAACAAATCAATCCTAACTCGCAAGTTGGGATAGGGCCAATAGCGGTAAAAATGTGCATCATTCATATAGAGTAGTATTTTAAACGGTTTTCAGCTCCTATACGAATATTTATCTTAAAATTTGCAGCAGGTCATAAAACACAATTTTAACATTTAAATATATAGAGAGCATTTAAGGTAGAAGGAACAAGGAGAGCCTGTAGATTTAATTAGCACATAATTCCTTTCAAAATCTTAACAACTCAAGAGCTTTTAGTCTTTATCAAAAATATTGTAAACCATAAAAATTTGACCATTTGCCCAGGCATTTGATAAAATGCTCGATTTGGCTATTTGCCCGCAAACATATAAACATTTTAGCCTCAACTTCCAGACATTTTGACAGCTTTTACCGCCTCACTAAAAAAGTAATTTTTTCTTTTCTTTTTTTCAGCCGCAGCTTGACATTTGATGGTTCATATCAAATTGTGTCTCTATTTATGGAGCAAGACCTCAGTTTTCTCCAAGAAGAGATAATGCACTTCCCATATCAGCCATATTCATCAAGGGAGGAACTAGCCCACATGATCAGTGCTTTCCATCCATTTTCTGTCCAGAGGATAGAATCATTACATCAGGAAACCACATCATCCAAACTTACGGAAGGATCTCTCCGTTCTGGCCCCATTCAGCCAGTCCAAAAATCAGAAACCAAATCATCTCACCAAATCAAAAGTAGCAAGGATGCTGTGAAGACAAGGACCCTTAACAATCCAGGCTCACAGAAAGCTTTGAAGAGAATGAGCAGTAAAGAGTGCATTGATCGATTACCACACCATAGAAAACATGCAAAAGTTCATGAAAATTCAGACCGAAGACTTCAACGAACGTTTACGAAAGTATACGCGGCTGATCGGACCGCGTTGAGCCCCATTGTGCCGCCTGACAATAAGAGATTGAAGCAATGTGACGAGAGTGGAAAAAAAGCAAGTAAAAAAACTGTTCCGGAATATTTGCACAAGTCCATTGTCGACTGGATTAATACGAGCCCTGTGGCGCCTGAAGATATGAAGTTGGGCAAGGATTCGGAGGATGATATTTTTGCCAGTTTAGAAACTTTTGACGGAAGAAAAGAGACCGTTTGTAAGGACACACCTGAGTCACAAGACAAAACCTGTGCAGAATCAAAGTCGGCAGAATATTCAACTAATGTTTCAAAAAATCAAGAAGCCATAAGAAAGCCTGAGTATTTCTGGGAGTCATTGAGAGGTTTGGACTTGTATGAAGATACGAGCCCTGTGGCGCCTGAAGATGTGGAGTTGGGCAATGATCCGGAGGATGATATTTTTGCCAGTTTAGAAACTTTTGACGGAAGAAGAGAGACCGTGTGTAAGGACACACCTGAGTCACAAGACAAAACTTGTGCAGAATCAAAGTCGACAGTGTATTCAACTCATGTCTCGAAAAAGCAAGAGGCCATAAGAAAGGTTCAGTCGTTCTGGGAGCCATTAAGAAGTTTGGACTTGGGCTTTCCTGACATGGTGTAAGGATACGTTAAGTTTCCAAGAATCATTGTTTAATGCAATATATTTTCACACCACCTGCAATCACCTGAACCTGCACTATTCAACATCACACATCAAGCTCTTTCTTAAGAATAGTGTGAATATTATTTACTTCTTTAGTCATAATTTCTAACGATCGATCAATTTGTTTTGTTATGCTGTGGTTTATTTTTTGTTGAATTTCTGTCCCAGCTTTCTGTTATTTTTATTTTCAATTAACTTTTTGTCTCCAGGTTTCTTTTTTTTAATACTCATTTAACTTATATCCAGGTTTCTATTATTTTTATTTTCATTTTACTTGGTGCCATGCAGCTTAAGAATTAACAAGCCTTTACCAATACAAATATGGTAATAACATTTATGTTTCATACAGTAAGCATCCCACCTCTTATGGAGAAACTAAGCAGGAGGCAAACATTAAGCTATCGAAAAAAAGTTGCTAGAATCTGGTTTCACTTCAAATATTTGTCAAAGAACAGATCGATTACACATACAGGTACAATTTAGCTATTTCCTCCAAAATAATCTTTTGTGTAAACCCTACAATGAAGATGAAAGTATGCAAACTTGAAAATTAACTATTCAAACGAATCAAATCTGGCACTCAGAGATTTCTCTGATGACTAATTTTATCGAATAATCTTGTTGTTCCAATGACCAATCGAATACAATATTTCGTGCTTGCATACTTTCAGCTTCATTTTAGAGTTTTTAAAATATGTAGACCCATTGAGAAAAACGGTTTAAATGTGCCTTTAAGCATAATCCATCCGTTTTTTTTTTTTTTTTTTTTTTTTTTTTTTTTTTGCTAATAGTTTAAAATGAATGAATGCATTTACAGTTTTTATTTTGTTCCTATTTTTAGCCCTCTTTAAAAAAATAAATAAATACAAATACCTTTTTTTCTTTTATATGCTATTATTCTATTTATTTTGCATTCAGGGTGAAAATTGAAATTTCTAGGATTTAGAAGAGGAATACCTATGCCCACTCAGTCATCTCAAAATATCAAAATTTTAAATCTATTCGCTGATTGCAAGCAGAGAATATGACCTGTAGCATTTTTGTACATTTTTTAACAATTTAAGTACACATGAGGGGCTAGGAGGACAAGACACACAAGTGCAGTTTTTGAAAAATTGAGATATTAATGATTTCAAGTAAAACTAGTCTTAACGTATTCTCTGTGAAAAATTCGCTCACAAATTCCAATTTTTAAGCATCAAAGAGTCAATTTGAGCTTTCTTTCCGCCATAAGAATCTATGTGATTTCGAAACTTTAAACACGTATTCCTTGAAATAGCAAAAACTGCACTTGTGGGCCCTGTCCTCCAAGCCCCTCACATGTTGTAATTTACAGTAATGATGGTATGGTTGATTTTTATTATTTTCCTCTCAAAAAAAATCTTACAGTTCTTGGAGATGATCGTGAATTTTGATGGGGAGAAAATTTGAGGCTTTCTTACAGTTCATAGAACTCGATTAAATCCTCATTGCAGACAGTAGATGGAAAGATTTCATTTTAATAATTTTTAATGCATTTGCAAATCATAAAAAAAAGAAACTGGGAAATATGTTGAAGCATAGCGTTTATTCACAGCAAGAAAAAAATTAAAGGAATAAAAAGTGAGGAACTATACAGTGTACATTGTCTGCCACAGTATTACTAACTCCCCCCCCCCCTTCGGAAAAAAAAAAGGTTCAGGGGTGTAATTTCCGGCTGGGGTCATGCCGGTTGTGAGCTATAACCACATTTATGGCTCCCATGACCTTTGTTTTCACAGAGGCATTCATCACAAGCGACCGCATCCTGTCCAAAAAGACTGGCATGGCAGGCAAGGTCTAAAGCAGATTATGAGAGGCAAAAAACTGTAAATAAGTAAATTAAACAAATTAACGAACCTCTAAGAGTTTCAAGCTCGGCTAATTTCTTTCCTTCGTAGTTGGCCAATTCAATTTTTTCATTAAGCATTTTTCCATGCATTGAAAGTGCGTTCTTAGCGTCGTCTAATTTGATCAGATCGTTCTCCACATCTTCCACCAATCGGTTTAGATTCTCTGGAAAATTATGAAACGGATGATTCTTGCGCTAGGCTTTTCAGACTGTTCAGTCAAAAACAAGCATCAGGGTGAATTAAATGGTGTTTGGTTCAACCAGCTATCAATTGTGCTCTTTTTGAATCTTGTTCCGAAGCAGTGTTCGGGTTCCATCCTCAGTCAACAGCTTCAACTTGACACACAAGTATCAACTCAAAACAACCTAAATTAATGTTCACTCGCACGTAAATTATTATACTTAAGTATGCAGAAGTGAGAACGAATTTATGTTGTTTTGAACTTAATCTTATGAGTAGTTTTTTATTGGAGTATCGACTGACTGATTTATTTTTAATTTTAGACAAGTGCTTTCATGAGTAAAGTATAGCAAAGGATCTGAAATTAAATTTAACGATACCTTTGCTGCTAATGGAGAATTTGCATGCAAATTTTTTATTGCTTCATCTGAAAGTGCTGAAAGAGCTAATTTAACAGTATTTTTTATAAATTTTTCTGATATGGGAAATTGTATAAAAACAGATTTAAAAGTGAGAAAATGTACTGCCTAGTGACATCATCTGGCGACAGTTCCCATTTATACACACATATTTTAGCAGATTAGATCATTTTGTCATATCTTCTCCAACAATTGTCCAATTCATGAACCAAAGGTATCCTCGTGTTCAGTTCACTTGTTAGTTTCCACTTAAGCACAAAATTCATGAAATTTCAGGCACTTGCAAATTCTCTATTGTTTGAAACAACTAGAAAAAAGTATTTTTGCACAGTTTTTTGGTCTTGATATAACTCTTTGACTCTTACCAAGTGTTTGATGCATTGTGTGGATATCTTCAATCAAAACAGGAAGGGTGGCTAGACAGGTGTTCAGCCTTTCTAAATCGTTGTGTTGCTTCTTTACAGTTAAACACATTTTAGCGATGCTTCGTGCTACAATCTGGAAATATTCAATATTTTAATTTTAGCAAAGCTGGACTAATCAATAGGTTAAGTGACAAAATTTAGAAATCAGAAAAACCAAATGTAGATAGAAAGTTGAAAAAAAAACTACGTCAAGACACAGCTGAATTTTAGTAATGCCTGAGAAATTAGCATGTTTCATTCAGTAAATACATTTTCTATGATTATTTTATGTTTAGCAATAATGCACAAATTACACCACCCAAAAGTATGAACACAATAGAATGAAAAATGTTAAAAAGGAGGTAAAACTAGGATTAGATATTATGACACGAAAAAGGCAGATGTTACAGTTACAAGCTCTCACAAGCTCATTCACAGCAGCAAGAAAAATTAAAATTAATAAAAATTGATTTGATATGATATGGTTGTATGATAACAATCATATGATCAGTCATATGAATGTCATGTGAATCATATGAATCTTATGATCAGGTTGTCTCTCAATTTTATATTATTTTAATTACTTTTGCTGCTGGAGACGAGCCTGTGATGGCTCAGAACGTCCTGCCTTTCATACTTACATGTTAATACTTTAGCTTTGTTTTACCAATTTTTCAATTTTTATTCTGTCGTTTTAATTCTTCAGTGCTTCAAACCTTTTCCGAAGAAAATATGACAGGATACTTTGGAGTATTGTAGGAACGTATCTCGAGGAATTTTTAACATTTCTAGGATTTTGAGGAAAAAATTTTGAAAACGATGCAAATGGATGAAATGCCTTTCAAAGACTTCTGTCAATTTTGAGAGTTCCAATTTTCGTAGCTGACCATAAAACATGAGATGAGTTGGTTTTTTTTTGCATATAAAAAACTATATTTCCTCCTCTTGTTAGAAAGTTAAGGGACTTCCGAAGCTCCTAATGAGTCAAACAGAACAAGCCTTTCAAACAACAGACTGGCAAGAACAAATTTAATGAAAATCCTATGAAAACTTTGTAAGAATTAATAAAAAAAAGGACAAAATTTTTACACGAATGAATTTCGTTCAGTATCCACTTAGATAGTTGCGCAGTTTTTAGGAAATGTTCATTTCTTTCAGGGCCAGATTTCAGAGAGGGTCACAAGAGCATGACTGCAAATTTATAGGCGCGGAAAACTTCTAAATTGCAATGGCAGATTACATAAGCCACTGTACTTTTTTTCTATTTTTCGCCTTGTCATAACTTTTATGTAATCTTGGAATTTTGTAATAACACTGCAGATATAATGTCAACTTGTCTCTTTAATAATAATATAATAATAATTTTAAAAAAAAAGTGGGGTACCTCTGCCTGAAATGCATTGTCTTTTGCGTTGTTGTGGAGTTCATTCCATTCCGTCTGATACTTATGAAGTAACTCTGCTCCAGCATCAAAGTTTGGTTTTTCAGGAGCAACATACTGGGCTTTGGTACTGTTGATGGTTATACTCTGGAGACTACAAGAAAAGAAAAAAGTTATTTTACTAAGATAACAGAATTAACAGAAAAGGGAGAAAATTATAAATTCATAGTGATCCTCAGCAGAAAGCTATGCACTTAGCAGGTCCGTGCCTCATGCCTTCATATTGTTCCCCTTTCCAGATGCCTTCACATTTTTTTACTCCTTTACAGGTGCCTTCAGATTTGTTCCGCAATCAGCTTCTAATAAGCCGATCGAGCACTTTCTACACCCCTACTTATTTTTTACTAGCAGAAAACTTGACCTCAAGAAGGGCAATTTCTTGATCTTCCTTGGTCAAAAGGAGGATTAAGATATTGCCCTTATCTCGTCATTGAAGGCAAGCTAATCAATGGTGAAACTGCAGAAATGCGTATCTCACTTTTCGGCAGTGCAGACTTCCTGTCACGTTTTATTTTCTACAAGAAAAACTTTTGAGCATCATTTTTTTAAAATTTCAGTGATTATTTCTCCTTTATGGAAATTATTATGCAAAATCTTTGAGCCATGATGTTGGTTTGGTCTCCTTTTGAAAAGCAAAACGGAAGCGGAGGTTTCGAAACAACGCAACCGAGTTTCAATGTCGTAATGCGGTATCATGCAATGCAGTTTCTAACGACCGCACACCCTTTTCTCATACATCAGAGTAAAATGAATAATCCACCTACTGATAAGCAACTGATAAGCATCGTGAAATGAAAAATTAGTGAGAAGATGAGACTTTCAAGAAATATCGAGCCTCGAATACTTGAAGTTCGAACAATTAAATCTGGAGAGGGCGCATACCTAGATGTTACACTTTCCTGAACACTTTGGAGTTTACTTTTCAAATTGTTGAACATTGGGGATATTAATTAAACACACACACAAACAGGTTACTAATTTTAAAATTAAGATTTCCACTCTTTATTTCGTAAAATAATTGAAATGATAAGCCACGGAGCAACCGAGCGGGGAATCAGTGATAGTGATAAGACACGAGTAGGGATCAAAACAATAACAAAGCTTTGCAATATCTACGATCATTTTTTTTTATTTTGTTTCCTTCAACGATGATTTGTTTGATCCCTTCGCTTTGCTGTAAAAATAAACTTAATTATATTTTAAAAATTGCAATCATATGAAAGGAGACAATTTGTGACTTTTTCCGATTTCAAAATATTTTTACCCAAGACGCTTGGCAACGTTTCATTGCTGCGAACGCCATCTCTGATCCATGCGACGCAGCTTGTAACGTAAACATTGAAATGGAGGCTGGATTTTCCCTTTTGTGATTTTGGTTTTTCCAAAAATTAATTCCTTTCAACCGCACAGACTTTCATTCGCGTAATTTGTCTAGTGTCTTCGACTTTTCGGTAATTACTGCTCGCCGACAGCGAGGCATTTCTTTCCTTATTTACGTTTCTTCGTTTCACCCTGGATCACGTTCGCTACTTGTCCTCAGACGATTTTAACTTTTTGCAAAATGTTATGTCCGATATTGAAAATTTTTTGTGCAATCCAGGCCAGTCCCAAGGGTAAGTATCCCAGTGACCTTTATTAAACCAACCTGGCTTACGTTTTACCCCTGTTCGGTCCTACAATAACCCCCATTTTACCATGAAATTCTTAGTCCAAAACTCTTATCTCCCATTTAATTTGAACTGCAAACACTACTCGATCAGTTTTCTTGTTGAGGGATTAACGCAATATCCAGCATCGTTACTGATCTTTTTTTTCACATTCTCTCTCTTCAAAACCAGGGGCAAATACCCCCCACTATTTTAATTCCAGAAGTAAGGTCAAATGAGTTCTTGGTAGTGGTCAGAACTTACTATAACCTTACAGCAAATGACCCATTTTGGTTGTGATATATTTGGAATAAGTATTTGTTGACTTGTCAAACAGCCTTGAAAATATTTTTCTGGGTTCGTGCTTCAGAATTTGAGGTTTACTTCTCTAAATCCTGCATCCACTTAATTTCTACCATTGAACTTGTAAGTAGAGATTTGGTAACTTGTATTGCATTATGTCCCTTGCTTGTTGCACCAAAGGGTTTTACAAATACCCATATGGAGCAGTGGCGTGGCGTGAATTGCGATATATCGATTGTTATGCCATTTAAACCTATGAAAAAAGATCGATTATCAGGGTGTTCGCAGCGAACACCTTAGTAATCGATCCTTTACCATAGCTTCAAATGGCGAGATATCGATAATCGATTATTCACGCCACGCCACTGATATGGAGATATCGTATCATTCCTGATAACTTGTTTTTACCATCTCATTAAATTGATGACTAGTCTCCCTTTTATCTCATGATGCAACAAACCTGATTTTCAAAAGTTGCGTTTGACATATCTGATAAATATTTTACTTATTCAGACGGAAATCCAGAGAGCTGCCTGATTTTCCCCCCACATCTTCATGCCTAGATTTTCCTAAATTAACTTTCATTAATTTTTCTGCAGAATGTCAATTAAAATGAGATGGTCTTTATGCTCTTTTAAGATCGTCAGTATATCAAGCAAGATAAAGATATACTTAGTCCCGTGGAATAATTTACGATCTTGGAGGAGATACGTCTCCTCCAAGATAATGTACTCTCCCTTACACTTGAAACTCTCATTTTCTAGATCCTCTGTCAAAATCTTGCATTTTTCATCTTAATTGGCATCTCAAGGCACTCTCAAAAAGCACTATATCATGAAATCGCATCAATTTTATAACAAAATCATTGAAGACGTATGTAGGAATCTCCTTAAAGATACGCCTTAGTATTGCACAACTTGGCTTACTAATTTGGTATTCAAGAAAGGAAAGAATAAACTTTGAACAATTTTCTGCGCCTAAAATAATGATGTGTAGCAGTTCTTCTGAAGGATATCCGAGGTGGCTCCCGTACCTACTGGCTCCTTTTTCCATTTTTCAAAATTCAGTAATCCCACTTACACTACTCACAAACATATTTTGCCATTATTATAAAATGGCCAAAGCTTTTCGAGACTTTAGTAAACGTTTGTCAAAATGTTTTTATCGCCATGCTATCGATGTACATCTAATCAGCTTTCTCTTTCTTTTTTCACAGCATTTTATTATTTCCCCCGGTCAGTAAATATAGACGTTTTCTTATCCACAAATTAATTGAGGAGTCCTTTTCACGCCGCAACTTGCAGACTTTGTCAGTAGGCAAAGACTCTGGTCGAAGAACTGCTGTCTTCCTTCGCTCGCTTTTAAGGTAAACATATGCTTTGAATTTACTTTGGCTGTTTATATTGTTACAGAATTTAAAGTAGACTGGATGTTTACGTCAACAGTAACAAGAGTTGCCGATAAAGAGAGAATGTGAGAAGGAAGGTTCAAGAGTCTGCAGCTAACAATCAGTCAGTGATCAGTGAGCAGTATAAAAAGAAGAATGAAGCTATGTCCACAGGAGGGTCTTTTTTCAATATTCTGGACTGTAGAACAATGTGCAAGCCCTAGGCTGGCCTTTGCCTTGCATCCATCTTGGCCCAAATCTGGTAACAATGCTACTCTGTGCTGGACATTCATCATGCAGCATGAAAGACTGAGTATCATGGGGATTATTGACTAAATCATACGAATGGCAAACTTTGGAAATAGCGTTTCTCAATTGCTTCACTTAATTATGTTTGAATTTTTTTCTTTTTAAAATTTTTAAAGTTGCATAACAAGTGAAGTAGGTAGTAGAGCAAAGTTATCATAGAGTACAGATCAGATCAGACTTTTGATTAAGTTGTTGCTCAAAGCAAGAATCATTAAGATAAAGACTAAAATGGAAGAACCTCTGATATTGCTTTTAGTATCAACTCTGACATAAGTGGTTTTTTTCTGGATATGGAACTTTATCAACCACTAATTTTTCGTTTGGATTTCATTCTTGTTCTTAATTAAATAGATTGATAGGAATTGGCCTAACTGCATTCTCTGCTGCCTAATTTACTCAGTTATTGAGTTACAGAGTTCTGTTTTCTTACAGAAACATTTTGCAGTCTGTACATTTCCCCTGGGTTACCTGTAGAGAATATATTTTCAAAACTTCAAGTCAGAATGTTAAAAAATTATAGTGGAAGAAAAGTAGGCAACGTTTCATGTGTTCAGACTGAGTTCAGTTTAATCTATCTGATTATAAAGAATATCGATGGCCAAAGTCAGAAACCATGCATCTCCATTGTCATGTTTCAAAATTTCCGTTCCTATTTTATTTTTTTGACTAGAAATAAGATACCTTTAGAGCACGAAATTAATACCAAATATCCTGCCAACACAGAGGAAAAATCAAGGTAGTTTCCAAAAATTACATTGACTGGTTTTTCATAGAAAAAATGAAGTTCAACTGGAAGTCTGTAACGTCGCAAATGGAGGTACGTGGTTTTGCACTTTGGCTCCAATGCTCTCCTTTTATTCTTTTCTCATTTTTTTTTTTTTGTCATTTTATAGAGCCGATTTTAAACCTCCAGAGAACCCACCTGTGCAACAGCCTTGGCGGCAAAAAACCAAGCCGCTAACGGCACCAATGGTGAATAAAAATAATGACAAGAACAAAGCAAGAACTCCGTACGGCGGGATTTACAGGCCGCCCGCAGTACGGAGACTTCTTGACACAAGATCTGACCCAAAAAGTGAACCACAAGACGTAGACGCAGCTTGTGAACCTCAGCAGCAAGAAAGAGCCTCATCGCAGCAAGAAATATGCGCTGGAGATGTTGTAACTCCTAACAAAACTCAAACGCAACAACTTGCCGCAACACCACCAGTATTATGTTCCTCAGAAAAAAAGTGAGTTGATTTGACTATTCTCTATGAACTTTAATTTTCACAAGTATGTAAACAATTCTCACAAAGAAACGCATGAAGTTTTTAGCCTTTTTGTTTTTTGAACCGGTCCTCCCATTTTAGAGACCCCTTTTTCCCCATAATTTATTCTAAACTATAACCTCTCTTTGGTCCTTTATTCACAAATAGCTGTAGTTTTGAGAAATATGAGAAATCTATGAATTTTACTGTTATTTTAACAATCTTGTGTGATGGCCGTCCAATTTTCACCGTCTTCCCATATTCTCACATGAGCAGCCACATGATCAGAATTGTGTGATCAGGAAGTTGCTGCACCGCTGTTTGTATACATGCATAAACAAATTTACGACTGGAGTATCCAGATAATGTGTGAAAGATTCGTTTTTTGGAGAATGTAATGATTGTCAATGTGAGAATTGTTTTATTTGTGTGCGAGTTACTCAAGTGGGTTTTAAAACTTTTTGAAATGTATCATAGATTCTCATTAATTGAGTTCTCAAAGGTGAATTACTTTAAAATGTCTTCCGAAGTATAAAGTAAAGAATAAAATGCAAAATTAATTAGAGTTTGTGACATATAAATATGTATTCTTTGATATTTGCATTTCCCTCCCTGTCTCTGTCTGGTGTCTGTACTCCTATTGGCGGATCCAGTCACATGACTTGATCCACCAATGGGAGAGGCGGACACCAGATAGAGAGAGGGACGGTTATGCGAAGACGCCATCTTACTTCACTTCGGTCCTTGTCGTTTTAGCAGGTGCGTACAAGTCTTCGTCACTCCAAAATGTGAGTTTTCTTAGGGGGAAATTACCCTTTTGGGGTGATTTCTTTAGTCATGTCTTCTTCATTTGTGTTCGGGCCGGTCGGCGAGTCTCCCTATCATCCATATATCCGTGTATTCTGATTTTCTTTGCGTGCTTTCCCTGTGCTGCCCCGGCAGCATCGTTACAAGTTCTGCTTAGCTTTTTTTGTATGAGTCAGCTCGTTGAAAAGTTGTTTTTTCGTAAGAATTTTCCCTCCAGTGTATCTTTGTTAGTGGTTTTAGACTTGTCTAAACCACTGAAGTCTTGCTAAATGTATTTTATTTTAAAATTCTCGTACCTAAAAGCGGCAATTACAGCCATTATACCGGTAAATAACAAATGAAAATATCACAAGAACAACAAAACAACAAATTAGCATGAAGCATAATCTTTTTGAAGCAGCTCATCAATACTGTAAGACACTTCTTGAAGGAGGAGCTGTTTTAGCTCCAACATGAAATGTACAATATGTCGTTGAGCAAAGAGCAGTCCATTTTATTGGATCATGCAAATCCACTTGTATGTAAGTTCTTCAATCAAAATTTATGATGTTTATCTTCGTTCATATATTTTCCAGATCTACACGCATCAAACGGCCTGATCAGCAAGTATATGTTCCTCGAGCGAAGAGACTGTCCACTAAAGATGAGAGTTTGCCCATCACAGAACGGACAGACAAGAGTATTTCACAACCTCATACCAAAGTCTTCATCAGTGAAAGGCGCAGCTGTGTCAAAGTGCGGAAAAAGTCAGATCCTGACTCAGGAGGCACTGAAAACTCCCTAGAACCTTCAAACCAGGTTGAAAGTCCTGTGGAAGAGATTACTACTAATCTCAACTCAGAAACGCCCCTTTTAGATCTATCTTCAGAAATTTCGTCCGTAGAACCTTCATTCGTTTCACTCGATAGCTCTGTTTTCGAAACTAGTCATATATTAAGCGAGAGCTCAGAACTATTTGACGGCTCATTCCAGACGTGTCCTGAGGATAGTTATTCCGAAGCTGAAAAACGTTGCGAAGAAAATAGTCCTGCAATAATAATCGATCTGAGTGATGAATCACTTTCAGACACTCAGCAATGCAACGACCATGTAGATAAATTATCAGACTTCAGCAGTTCGCCAAGCTTAGAACCTATGCGTTCATCCCCTGAGGCTAGGGAAGTAGATAATATGGATGAAAGTTGTGAAAGCACTGATGTAAAAAGTAGTGAAATTAGTAGATTAATTGTTGAAGATACGGACACGCCTAATTCTAGTTTAGTGAGTTTCTCCTCTGACTCTGGGAGTCTAGCAATTTTAAATGAAAGTCTAGATTCGTCGAGTGCCCGAGTAATGGGTGTTTTGGATATCAGTGCGGAAAGCGAAGATAAGGACTCACCGATGAAGCGTATAATTCGAGAGAAAGCTCTGGCGAAATCTCCGGAGGCGGTGGCTGATGACTGGGAACTCTTGCTTAATGAAAGTGGGCAATTTTTGGATTCTTCCTTATTGAAGGAGGTGAGTAGAGATTTGTGACTTTTATTCTGCTATCTTTTTGAGTTTTACTCAACGGCTTACTTTTAGGATGACAGTTTCAAAAATACATGAAATAATGAGGACTTACAAAAAAGTATAATCATGGCAGAAAAGATCATTTTTTCAACGGAAACGTCTTCATCTAAAAAACTTGTCAAATATGGGACTGGTGGATTGTGTGCAATAATAGGACAATAGACATTGCCTTGCTACATCAATTCAACTGTTGGAAATAAAGAAAGTCGAAACAAAAAATCTCAAACTCACAAAAACTAAATTAAAATTGCCTAATTTTTTAATAAAAATGGGCAATTTTAATTTAGTTTTGTGAGTTTGAGTTTTTTAGTTTCGACTTTCTTTATTTTCATTATTTAGCTCACAGTTTGTTACCTCGATTTCCTGTTTGTTTTGTTTCGTTTCGTTACTTTCAGTTTATTACTTTTTAACTGTCGGATTCTGAGTAGCATTTTCCCCCCCTTTGATATGATTTTTAGAACTAATCAATGAACTTATTAATTTTTTCACAAAATTTAACATGAGGATAATAAAATTACAACCCTACAAAAAAGTTTTGCCTGTACCTCATTACCTTAAGGATCTCTTTAAAGTAATCAAAACAAACCAGCATTCACAATTAGTTCAAAAAGGAAGCCATTTCTTCCACCATAGTTTCAAGGATCAGCAATCCTTTTCTTAGGGCCAAGAAATATGACATAATATTTTTCTCTCTTGTTACTGATTAACTTTGTTTCTTCTTGTCTCAGTTGGAGGAAGCAGTCGGAAAAGTGAATATCTCACGGCCGTCATGCGACTACAAAGAGTTCCAGACAGTTGAGGAGCGAACAAGTGATGGGGAGTGTATCATAGAAATCTACGGGTTTTCATCAGAACTCAGGACCCACGATCTGATGAATATCTTCTCACCTCTTTGTGGAAAAAATTTTCAAATTGCCTGGGTGGATGACACACATGCTCTAGGCGTCTTCCCTAGCCCTCTAATGGGTTAGTCTACAATTTTCCTTTTCACTATTTTCCTGTCAAATGAAAGACTTAAGGTGAATCCAGGGTTCGATTAGGGATAATTCAAGATTAGAGATAGTGCCACCAGTCACCACTAAGAATTTCACTTTCCTTCGACGATTACTGAAATAATATTCCTCGAATCACAAAAAGCAGATCCACAAGATATAGATACATTTTTGCTTGATTTTTTGAGCCAAAAATATTGGCAATTAGAATTACAAGCGCAGAGAAAGTACGGCTGAAACTTTCAGCTCAGAGGCGGCGGCCGAGAGCGCAACGGAATCCCTCATGTTCTGTCTCTCTCTCTCCCATTGCCGCAATGGGAATTACTTTCCGCCGCAGTTAAGACTTTATTTTTGGGAATTTTGAGAAGATTTTTTTACTGAGTGTTCCTCAAGTATGTTGCCATAACCCCTGGATCTCCAATCTTGAATAAGTATTACGGTTTTTATTATTTTGGCAAATATATGCGGCTATTCTGAGAAGCGCGTCGTGGTGGCCAAATCGCGAAGTTCCAAGCCTGGATTCACCTTAAGTTCTACCAGCAATTCATTCCAATATTCAGTAACTTTTGCAGTATAAATTGTTAAAACACAAGAGACACGCCTGAAAAATATTTTTAAAAATTGAGACGTTTTGACTTAATGATAGTTATTTTTCATTGAAAGGAAAAGCCAGACTAAATACAGACTGACCAATAGAAACGTCTATGATCCTAAAAATAGACATCGTTTTCTTTTTGAAACAATCTTGGACCAAATCTGTCAATGAGTGCAGGGCGTTATAAGTGTCGTAAATATTTGTACCTAGTGTACTTAAATTTGGTTTATCCAAAACCCGAATTTTTCTCTGTTTACGTCTTGCGTGGAGAAATCTTTGCAGTGCGTATCATATTTCTCATGCAGTATATTTTTCAGGGGGATGGAAAATAAATTTTTTCTTTCAGGAAAATAGTGTTTGAAAATAAATAATTGTCAGTACACTTAACGTGTAAACCCTGCTACAAGTGTCAATTTTTAGGCAAATCTGAAGAATTTCAGTCGTAAATATGTTGACTCTGGATAATTAGAGTATGTTTTACCTTCTACTTTAAAGTAGTGTATACTTATGAGCCAGTTGTCACTCAACCAAGTTTTCTCCCATTTTTTCAGCTGATGAATTACTGAGCACCGAGTTACCATTCGTTCGAACGAGACCTTTGAGTGAAGGGATCCCAGAGTCGAGGTTCAAGGCACGCAAACTTGTTCTTCCGCCAATGACAAGGCCAAAAACATGTCCAGCTCTTGCCCGCAGGCTCGTAACTGGCGCCCTTGGCTTGAGGCTTCCCACCTCAAAGCTGGAGAGAGAGGCTGAAAGAAAAGTTCTGAAGGAGGCTAGAGGTACTTTCCAACTATATAAATCGTTTATTTATATTTTTAGGAGCCAATCAGCTATTAAAATTCATCAATTTTTGGAGTTGATTCTCTTAATTATGTTCTGTTCATCTGAAATATTCCGGCTAATACAAATAAGCCTAGATATTGATCTGGAAGCCAATTGAAGGGAGCAGAAAGATTAATCGACACAGTCTTTGATTCAAAGAAACAGATAGAGAGCATCTTGTCAAGAGCATTGCTCTTTCACTCTCCTTCAATGCATTTTATACTATCAAATGGACCGCATGTATCCGAAAAGAGCCAAGTCACATCAGCTATTGCCAAATTTAACGGGCAATTCAATTTTTTACGAGAGAATCGTTGTGCAGATTCCTTTGAAAATGTCAAGGAATTTTGGCATTTTGGAGGAAATTCACTGAAATTTGCTCGAAAATCTGCACAACCGTTTTCATATGAAAATTTTAATCGCCCAATTAAATTTGGCAATAGCTGATGTGGCTTAGGTCCTTTCTGTTTAATGCGATCCAGATATACCTTTTTTAGTTCTTCTACGCTTTTGAGCGGTTCCTCACTTTCTAAGGCTGAACTTCACTGAAATTTGTCAAGCCAAAAAAATTTTAAGCGTTTAATTTCATTCATCCATAGGTAGTCTCAAACGAAAACAGGCTGATGCTGAAATTTGAAAAGTAATAAGGCTACTCTAGGTTTCCAACTTAATCCAAAATCATGTCATGAAAAGTCAAAATCAAAGTCGACTCAGTAATGATTATTTCCACCAAGGATAAAAGGTTTCTTGCTGCAAATTTTGAAAAAATGTTTTTCGAATCATGAAACCAGTTCAAGAAGACATTTTTCCCCTCTTCATCCAGCAAAACCTCAGGCCTCCTTACTTTTTACATTATAGGCACACGGTATTTTTCTTAGTTTTTTTGATCCTTCTTATTAGACAATTGAATGAATTTGAATATTCTGTGTTTGTTTATTTTCAGATAAAAAACGGCAAGAAGCAAAAATCCGAAAGGACATATGGGAAGGCAATTGATAACAGATATTAGCTACTTTTAAATATTTTGACAAGTTTATTTTTTTACTAAATTAATTAAATTTCTATATTTCTCAATGTTGTTTTTATATCATAGTTTGATTGATTCATGTTTTTATAAAGTGAAATAAATTTTTTGTTAGTTATGTGTCCAATTGTACCTCTGTTTTCAAAATTCACATAAAAATTATCGCAATAAAAAGTCGAGCATTAGTAGAAACCAGCACACCCGGTTTAAGCAACAACAACTGTCATTGCTTTTGCAATAATTTTTGTTCTTAATTTCAATTTAATTGTTTAATTTATATTTAGTACTGTTAAGTTCCTCCAAGTCAAACGCTCTTTAAGTGGAATTTTTAAGTCAACCTTTTTTAAGGGCCCGTCGAATTTTTCCCAAGAATAAAAAGCCTTCTAAGTGGAACTAACAATTCGGTCCCCATGAATTTTGACTTAGAGGAAGTTATCTGTACCTTCACTGATGGAAAGATTAGTCTGGAAAAAAAAAATTGCATCCATAGAAGGATTATTTCTTATCTAAAAATAGCAAGTTCTCCTATAGAACCTTATCTCATTTTTCTTTTGATTATTATAGTCAATATTTTTTAGATTTCTGCCAAGCTGAGGAAGAACGCTGTATGAGCATTCGAGAGTTGCCAAATTTCCTTCGATAAATTGTTCAATTTTGAGGAAAGTTAAGAATATTTTTCCTTGAAATTTTCAGGAACTTAAGGTGAAATTGCGAACAAGAGTATCTGAAAAATTAGAAAGAAAATAATTAGAAATAATTGAAAGAAATTAAATGTTGATTTAGCATTTATGCTGTCAAAAAGATGTCCGACAAGTTTCAAATGCTGATTTTACAGTTTAACGAATGCTAACATAACTACGCCCGCTGCAAAACGTACAAATTAAAATGTTATGTTAGCATTTTTGTATTGTAAAATCAGCATTTGAAACTTGTCGGACATTTTTTCAACAGTATAAATGCTAAATCAACATTTAATTTTTTTCCGTGTGCGAGAAGCAAACCTAACGCTATGTTTTCAGAAACTTTATACCTAGTTGAGTTGTTGGGGATGAAGAGACGTCTGCTGTTACAGTTGTAGGTGGGCAATAGAACGGTAGGCGTTATTCTCTTGCTTTCATTACAGACACGCATTCGAAAAATCGCGGGTTTAATTTTTTTCGATTTTTAATCGCTTTTTTAAAAAATCGATTTTCCATTGATTTTGTAAAAAATCGTTTGTCCTTGATCGATTTCAATCGAATCTATCGATTTTTTAAAAGATCGAATCGATTCGATAGATCGATTATTTGGGATATAACCTCAAAGTTTTTACATGCGTTATTCGCTAAAGCTTGTCACTTGTCAGTGTTTGTAATTTTTGGCTTTATCATTCCCTTCGTCCGGATTTTTACAACCCATTTTTTTAACATGTAAATAGTTTCTTCGAATGCTTCATCATCATGAGTTTTAAAACTATTGGTGTCAAATTGGATGGTGTACCGACTGATATTGTAATTGGAAACTTTACGTAAGTTTACTTTGCTCGTTCGGTTGACTTATTTTTTGTCGATTTTCTCTGTGTCTCTCGACTCTAATCAATTTTATGATGGTAGGCGAATATGCGTCTGCGTAGGTATCATCTGTAAATTAATAAGCTCCATTCCAAACAATAATGAGCATCAATATAACAGTCATGGTCTGTTGTTAAATGTTGAGATGTTTGTTTTATTATGATATTCTCCTTGGTATATGAAGCAAATCAATGGTCAGAATTGCAAAGTGCACATCATAACAAGGTCGACAGACCGAGGTCAGTCTGGTAGGAGAGTTGAGCGTGATAATTTCTGCAAATCGGGCAGTGAGAGCTGTCCGCGTTGTCAACAAATTTCCATGATTTGCTTCTCCGATCTACTGTTCCCCTGATCCGATTACATTGGTCTTATGCAATTCAGGGAGGAATCATGCAACAGGGCAGCTTAAACGCAAATTGGGGAAACGTTGGAGTGAAACAGCAAATCGGGGGAATCCGTAGCCAGATCGGAAAATTCCAAAGAATATTTTGCCAACGGTCCGATCTAGGTCTCTCGACCTTGCATGTTACTTTGCATTGATCCAGGAATCAAGGGCTGAAAGGAACAGACATTGGTCTGACATTAAATTGCCTGTGCTCTGTATGTACAATACCTCCCTAATATCTTGATTCTTTTATGAATCAAGCTCCCTGGGGTTCCCTAGGTCTCCCTGATTTCATTCTTACTCCTGTGAATCTTACATAAGCATATTTCTGTTTCATTCTGACTGATTTTACCATGATTTCACTATTTCTTATCGCTTTTAAATCATGAGCGGCATTAACATTATTGGTCTGTAACATAACGCAAGGTTAGAATCTTTTAGTATCATATATGAATCCTTTCCATGACCCTCATTATAGTTGAGTTTCTTCACGCTCCTAGCACTGTAAGAGATTGTTTTATTTTTTCAGAAATAACATTTTCATTGTGCTAACACAAGTGAAAAAATTTGGATCCATTATCAGTGTAAAGCCAGAGGCATTTAAAACAGCAGAAGGACAGCAACAAGTATACGACGTCAGGTATCTCACCTTTCATATTAACACTTTTTAGTTTCATTTTCTCTGGCAAGGGGCTGCACATGAAAAACGTAATGCTCTATGAGGAGGGAAGGGTTGAGGAGAGCGTTATAGTCACCACTCATCAAATACTTACACCCAAAAAATCTGGCAGTAGAGTTCACACATTAAGGTGATTCGATAGATGCCATATTTTGTGTCAGAACGGCATGCGATATATCGCATCAATTGGTTCCATTTTTTTTCAGCTACACGTTGTTTTTCTCCAATTTTGAGATCGCAATTCTGTTGTCAGGAGACTGAAGCACTCACTTACCAATTTTTACAAAGAAATTCAACGTAATAAAGGCATGGTTTTTTTTAGAGAGAAAATATCGCATTCGAGTGCAGTTTCGATATCAGTATCGAATGCGATGTTTTCTCTCTAAAAAAACCATGCCTTTATTACGTTGAATTTCTTTGTTGAAATTGGTAAGTGAGTGCTTCAGTCTCCTGACAACAGAATTGCGATCTCAAAATTGGAGAAAAACAACGTGTAGCTGAAAAAAAATGGAACCAATTGATCGCATTTGATTGATATATCGCATGCCGTTCTGACATAAAATATGGCATCCATCGAATCACCTTAAATCCTAAATTCTCGCCATTAGAGCTGTTGTTCCATACAGACCTTCAATCAGCAATCGATGCTTCATTTCAAGGGTGCCAGAAGAACCTGCTCTTAAGACCTGCAACTAGCAGCTAATTTAAGGCAAATTTTGGGCGCCAGACGATTTCATGAAGTTATTGCTGCCCCCCTCCCCCCTTTATTACATTTAAAAAAGAGGCAAATCGGACATTTTGTCATGAGGCACCAATGCTGGATGGCAAGAAATTGTCAGCGCTTTTTTTATTTATAATAAAAATAGAAGAAGAAAAAAGGTCGACTCTATGAACACTCATATGAAACCTAAACTTGTTTTATTGAATACAGAAGTATCTATCTATCTGTCTACTCATCTTTCCAGCAGAATTTACTCACTCTAAGTATAAAATGTAATGCAGTGAAGAAGCTATGAGCGAAATCAATTTAAAGTATGAAAAGTTTACTTTCAACACTCTTGTGCCCATAAAATTGCATTTTAATGGCTGAATGCATATCTGACCGCAGTAAAAGTCTCCTAATATATTTTACTTTCCTCATAAAAAACTGATTTTTTTCCTTGCAATTTTGTGTTGTTTTTTTTTCTTTTTTTTTTTTTTTTTTAGAACAAATGAAGGAAATTTCAATAAAAACTGTTGGTTAGCTTTCCTTACAGAAAATGAACCATAAGCAGAGACTTATAGCATTGCAACATGAGATATGCATCTGTCGACTTTAGCTATTGACTTGTGGTATGTTCTCATCGGACTCATGATTTTATTTCACGCAAAATGTTCCAGGAACCTATTAGGCCTTGAAAAAGAAAGTTCGCTAGTAGCAGCAAGATTTCTTGCGGAGCAGTTAGAAGTCCCCAAGCCAATTATCTTTTCAATCAGTCTCAAAGATGATAGTCCACGAGTACTGAAGAGCATTAAGAAAGTTCTGCTCGACAATAAATGTTGGTGATTTTCTTCTGAAGGTAAGTTCTTGATGTTTGCATCAATTTTGTCGCCTAAAAACCTCTCCTGTAAATTACTGTTATGATTAATCTGCATTAGTCGTGGTTTAATAAATCCTAGTCCTGATTTTCTCAGGAAGGTACTACAGGTAGTGAGCAGTAGTTGCGCTAAGAATTGTCTTATTTGAACTTATTCCCCCTTCTTCCATTCTTTTGGATTTTTAGAAAGAAAATACACTGTTTTATAAAAGAAATCTCTAACTGAATATTAAATGGAAACTTCGTTTGGAGGTCTGGGACGTAGACAATTTTGCAATCAGGGAAAAAAAGGCAATTGAAAAGAGTAAAAACTTAAAGAAACCACGTCTTAATTTAATGCATAATTAGAGACAAAAGACCCTCCACTGGCCTCCTGGCGACAGGTGGAAGCTTTTACTTTCGGGGATTCATCAATTCCTTATGGAAACTTATAAGGGAGCAATAGTCATCACCCTAATTTCGGCTTTTGACCTACCTACATGGTGGATGATAAGCTTCGGGTGATGCCATGAGCCAAACAAGTTTCTCAAACTTCGGCCATTTTTGGATTGTTTGCGAAACGAAACTGCCAACACGTTGTTGAAAGTCAACCATGTAGGCAAGTGAACAGTTGAATGCTGAAGTCCTGAAATAAGAGCTTCCACCATGGCCAAGATACTAGTGGAGGTTTTTTTTTTTTTTTTTTTTTTTTTTTTTTTTCTGTGCATGATATATATTCTATTGAATTCACAGAAATTGTTGGTTATTCTATTCAAAAAATTTCCAGGGTGGGAATGTTAGGTGATCAGACTACAATTTTCTGAAGAGTTCATCTTTCAGTCGGAGAATTCTACCATGGGTGTCAAGGAAGGATTAAATGTGCGCCACATTATCTAAATACAGCCCTCGATTAGTTCAAAAATAAATCATAAGCTCATTTATTTGTTTCGGACCAAGAGGATGAAGATCTCATTCGGTCACTTTGTAATGGCTCCCTATCTTTTGAAAATCGAACGTCATGTCTGCTTTCTCCTTTCAGAACCAAATAATGAAGGTCTCATTCGGGCAGCTTGTGATGGGTCCACCCGGAAGCGGCAAGACCACATATTGCGAGGCAATGTCTAAGCTGTTGCTGGATATCGGGAGGAAAGTAGCCGTTGTCAACTTAGGTAAGTACAGGACTGGAGAGAATTTTGTCAGTTTGCTTAGTTTCGTTGTTTTTTTTTTTTTTTTTTTTTTTTTTTTTTTTTTTTTTGAAGTCAAATGGATTGATCCATCTACCCTCTAACTTTTAATTTTCTTTGTTTTTTGGTTTTCTCTTCCATCTTGCCTCCCTAAAAGCTCTTTTAATGAAGCTAGTTGTGCATTCTTATAGGAGTATTTGCATCTCAAGAATCCTCTTCTTTCGTTTTTACTCAAACACAGAGTTCTCAATTTCAAAATGTAGAAACTCCTAAGATGTAGTAAATAGGTAAAATTTAGTTTTTTAGTAAAAAAATAAATTAAAATAAAAATGTCGGTATTTAAAGTAAAACTTACAAAAGAATTGTCAGAATTAATGCTGTTTTGGATTGCATGTTTGACTTTTATTTCTCATCATTCTAGATCCAGCCAATGATAACATGAATTACAAAGCAAGTATAGATATTGCTGAGCTGGTAACCGTGGAAGATACAATGCAGTATTTGAATCTCGGGCCGAATGGAGGCCTCGTTTACTGTATAGAATATTTAGAAAAAAATTTGAAGTGGCTCTTGGATAGTTTGAAGAAATTTGAAGGCTACTATTTCATTTTTGATTGTCCTGGTCAGGTGAGTTGTGCATTTTCTTTGAACGTTTATCTTTTTAACGTAAGTAATATCATCAATCAATGAAATACTTTAGTAAACATAAATTTTTTTTCATAAACAAAATTGGTAGTTCAATAAAAAATAACAGATGAAATTAATCTGTTGGGTAGTCACAGAACTGCCAAATATGTATCTCAATTTTAATGTTTAAAAATCTCTAAGTACAGAAATGGCCCTATCATCTGACTACCAATGGACCACTAGACAAGGTACGAATTTCAGCATTCTCATACATCATTCCAGATGAAAATTTCATGTAGAACACGATGTGAACAGCAAAAATTACCGAAATCAACTCCTTCTGAAGATATTTAATGATTCTTGATGCGTGAATTCAAACCGCCCGCTCATGAAAACTCAATGCTCAACTTGATTCACATCGCACGCTAAACGTTATCATGACAGTCTCTGCGATATAAAAATCTTGCAACCTCAATCTTGATGCTTCAGCTCAGCTATAGCAAATTGCTAATAGTTGAACAACATATGGTGGGAAATGAACATTGCTCGATTGAGATTCTTGCTGAAACCGTGGTAGTGCGAGATTTGACTCACGTAGAGCTTTGAGTTTCTTGTGAGCGGGCAGTTCGAATTCCTCGTAACTAATGTGAAATAATAACGTTGATATCTTTGTTAGGAGTTGGTTTCAGTAATTTTCGTTGTGTGAATCGTGTTCTACGTGAAATTCTGGTTAAGATACATGTATTAGAATGCTTAAATTCGTACCTTGTCTAGTGGTCCATTACCCGACGCTTTGGTAATCCAACATAGTCAGAATTGTTTTTGGTCTCAGGGAACACAATGAAAACTGGTTTTAATACGAAAATATACTTACTAGCTGTCAACCTATTTTCTACCATTTAAAAATTATATCTTTAAGCTTTTTTTGTATAAATTAGTTTTTTGCAACTTTTTTTACTCCAATTGTTCAGGTAGAGCTTTATACACATCATGATTCTATGAAGAAAATAATGCAGTCATTATCAGAACAAAATTTCCGGCTCTGTGCTGTCCATTTAGTCGATTCGCACTACTGCAGTGATCCAGGTACATTATTTATCTTCAAATTGACCAGAAAAAAATGAAAGTACAATAAATTTTGACAGTGAAACTGCAGGAACATGTATTTTGTTTGCAGTGTCTCAAAATCTCGGCTTAAATTTTATTTTCTTGAAGGAGGACAAACTAACACAATTGTTTCAAATTTCCATTGATTATTCTTTTTGAAGATAAGTAAAAACGGGGAAGTATTCAAATTATAATGCCGAGTATTTTTTCATTTAAAAAATCTAGTAGGTATAACAGGAAGACTGCAACATTGCAAACTGAGATACGCATTTTTCAGTTTCACAGTCGACATATGCCGCAAGGCAAATGCAATCATTTCTTCACTAACTGAACCTGATTGCAAATAATCATCTAAAGCCCATTACAGCCTATCACAAGAACTAAACTGTCATGCAAACAAATTAAGATATTGGAAACAAAGTGCCACCATGCTTGTTAAGAAAAAAAACTAAAATTGAATGAAGCAAAGAAAAAGTCACAAGGTCACAAAAACAATGAAGGTCATCCAATGATGAAGTTTATGTAGCTCATATCTCAGAAACTAAAAATGGGAGTTATAAATCCGTGGAAATTACAGGATTTCCTATACTTTGAGCTCTTGTTTGAAGAGATTAAATTTATTTAACTTGGATCTGCGGTTTACAAGAAAAGCGATGATGATGAAAATTTCCATTTTGTAAAAAGGCATTTGGCAAAGTCTAAAAGCTCACACACAGCATTTTTCCTCAGGACTTTAGTAAAAACAATCATAGGTGCATAATTTTTTTTTTTTTTTTTTTTCAATATGTTTGGGATTATAAATAAGAAGCTCCTTTTTTAAATGCTTGTAGGCAAATTCATATCGGGACTACTCATGTCGCTATCAGCCATGCTACAAATGGAGCTTCCGCATGTGAATATTTTGTCAAAAATTGATATGATATCCAAGCATGAAAAGAAACTGGCTTTTGGAGTGGACTATTACATGGAAGTCCTCGATCTTTCCTACCTTCTAGATGCGCTGCAAGATGATCCCTTCACCAAAAAGTAAGTGAAAATATTGAGCTGTTACTGGCACAAATCAAAGGGCCGCTACACAATGTCTGAATCAAAAACCATGTTTTCTCCTCCAAATGTTGAGAAGGAAATGACTCACACAACAAGAAATTCGGAAATCAAGTCCTGAACGAGATAGTATCAAGTCTTTTGATCAAATGGTAATTAGATTATGGAAATGATACCATTTGTACTTTTGCCATTTGATCAGTGTTATTTGTAAATTCATATATCTTGTATAGTAGTTTATTTCCGCACTTCCTATTGCGTATTTTCCTTTTGAAATTTTCAAAAGAGAAAATGTTACACAGTGCTTTAATTTGTACCCTGGTTAGAGGTCAATTACAATAGCCCAGAAAGTTTTGGCACTCGTTTTATTATTTTGTTGGTTTTGTCCAAATCAGAAATATATCCCTCAGTTATCAAGAAAAGTAATTACTTTTCTATTTCAGTTCAAAAATTAATTCTGACAGTTTTCAAAGAGAGACATTAATAAAGTTGCATATTACTTCTTTTTTTTTTCTTATGGGTATAAAATTATTAAATTTAGTTTATTCATCACACTAAATGCCCAATAGTACAAGAGGCCGAAGCCAATGAAAGCTTTCTTTTTTTCCGCTTTTTAATTTTTTACTGAGCCAGCTATTTGTAAAAAGTTTACCCTATAGTTGCTGTTATACATTGAAAAAGTTTCAGTTAGCAATTTTTCCTCGTTATTTTTTCAATTTTCTAAGTATGTCTGAAAATAATTAAATTTTATGAATAGAAGATGAATAATTTTTTTAAATTTTCTAGGTACAAAAAACTAAATGAAGCGTTTGTCTCAATAGTTGAAGACTTCAGTCTGGTTTCATTTGTCCCTCTGAATATCAAAGACAAAAGCACAGTAGTACGAGTGAAAAACAGCATCGACAAGGCAAATGGCTATGTTTATGGGCACGGTGAGGAAAGGAATGTCCAAACGTTGCTTGCTTGTGCAGTCGGAGCAGAAACAGAGCAAGATCGGATCGGAACTTTTGTTGATCGTTACAACGATGAATCGGAAATGGTACTTGATAAGTCTTGAGGAACTATCAAGTGTTGAAGGTTTTCAGAATTGAGAATTGATGACCATTTTGTGAATGCTAATTCTAATCAATTATGAAACTTTTCGCCCAGATTAATTTGAGTCATTGAAGTCAGTCCCAGAAGTTGGTACATTGGGAGGTGTTGTCAAAAGATAAACTTTTTGATTGAGGGGTGTTGCAAATGAAACAGTAAATGAACAATAATGGCATAAATCAATTTCTTGTTTAGCTGACTTATTTCAGACCAAGCTATGTAAGAGAATTCATATCGGAACGGAAGTATGAACCTACTTGCCTCTTTGTCTCATCATTTGTTCATTCTCTAAAAACTTTTTTGATTTCTCGTAACTGATTTTATTTTTTTAGAAGACATATTCATAAATTACCCCCTCTATTTTTTTCCTCAAAAATTAAAACTTATTATGCAACTCAAAAAATGTAACAGTGGAGCCACTGACTGTGCTGTGTCACTTGGGTAGTTTTACTCAGGCAACACTTTGCGGGTCTTCCTGTTATTCTAATAGATTAGAATAAATATTTATAAGCCCTCCTAAAATGATTGAATACATTTTATTAAGAAGATAATTATTGATGCCTCAGGTGTAAGAATACCTGTTTGCAAATGTTTTTCTCCGTTTCTTGTACTATTGGATAATTTTATCAATACCTTCATTCTTAAAAATTTGTTTTGACCTCCTTTACGTACCTCCCTGAGTTGACTCCTTGAAAGCATGGAACAGTCTCAGAAGTGTCAGAGAAAACCCTTGAAAAAAAAAGAATTCAGACAGTATCATCAAAGTATAGAAATGCAGGTGAAAATATGGTTCTTTCAGCTGTTATCAATCCTTCATAATATAAAACCTGCAAAAAAAAGTAACTTCTGAATCGAGCAGCAGCGTATAGGGGGAAAAATTGAAGCTGTGATCTGTCATGTTAACTTTTCACAAAATTAACGTTAAGAAATTTTCTTTTGTACCTTGAACTCTATACCTTGTCAGTACTTACTGAATCAACTAATAAATATTTATTTTATCAATAATGTTGTTTAGTTCTCTCTGCCATGTTCGATCATAGAAACACTTAATTTATTATCCTTCGTACAGAATCTGTACCAACCTTTCTTTTTAGGATAGACTTGCGGGCCCCCTCGCCTCTTCCTATATCACTGAACTCATCAATTGAAAAAAAGTATCGGTTATAACAGCTTATTCTTTTTTTTATTGAGTCGAAAATCTCGTGACCTTATGGACCAATCCAAGAATATATTTGCAAATTCAACAACAAACCAAAGCTTAATCCATTGTTGAAAATTTGTTTTTCAACAGCAGAAATTCTGAAACCAAATTTTATTGTCTCATTAAAGTTGCATGCAATTATTCATTCAGTTGGTGTCACTGGTCGGTGGTGTTTGCGAAAACTTAAATTTGATGACATATCAAAGTTTTCACCCAACTTTCATACCATTTTTTAATCTTGTATCCTTGTGTGCGTGCCACACAACCAAATGAAATTGATTCAGTTTTGACTTTTGACCGGAATATTGTAGTTCCATTGTGTAAATTCTACTCAGGGCTTTGGATACACTCGCAAAGGAATAGCTGTTTATTCAAAGTTAGAGCCTTGTCCTGAAAAAGGAAAGGAATTTACTTTTCCGATGACCAATCATACTCTTCTATGTTTTACATTTACTTTGCATATAATTCTATTTTTCTAGAACTCCTCATACTAACTAAGCGAATGAACCTATTTCTTGAAATTTATTTTAAAAACTATATTAATAGTTGCCTTTATCTTTGAATTTCTTCACATATCAAGACGGTGTGGGAAATTTGAAAGAACAGATCTTTTGGTTTCAAGGTCTCCAGTAAACACCAATATTTATTACAGGAACAAAAAAATAAAAACCCAGATAAATTTCATTAACACGACATTTCAGCGAGACACAAAGCTTGTCTATTTGAATTTACCCGCTTATTTTTCGCAACAGGTTACCATTCAAGTCATGAAATTTCCCTCCTTCAATTCACTCGGAATAATTTAAGTCGTCATGTTCAATTTTTTGAATTGATCCATGTAACAACTATAATTACCCTTCAGTATATTCTTATTTATTTAAAGTTAATGTAAATACATAAATTTGTCATGAATTTTACCAAATTATCAACAAAAAATTCCGAACATTGTGGTTGCTAGGTTGCCGTATTGGGGATGTTTTTGTGCGATTTTCCGTAAAAGAATTTGGCAAGTGACGATGGCAGCTGATGCTGATAGTTTTATCATCAAGATTGGTACATTTGCAACCTTTCCTGTATTTCTTTCCGATTGTATGTTAACAATTTAGTAGTTCCACAGTTTTTTTCACCTATATTCGGCAGTAAGTTTCTTATCGCGATGTGTGTCGTGTTATCTCCAAACGATGGTTGCTGAAACGGATTGTTGACGAAAATGTGTGACCGTGGATAAAATGGCGCTTGTTATTCCAAATTTGCTGAAGGCCTAGGCCTCTTTCGTAAATACAATGTGAAATTTTCGCGTGTGAATCAGTGAAACTTTGTGAATAAATATCTGTGTGTTTTTTTCGTGTTTTCGTTTTATTTTCTAGTGCATCATCATGGCTAATAACCCGCGAAAGTTCATCGAAAAAATTGCTCTCCACAATCAGAAACAATTAGAAGAAACTGCAGAATTTGAGAAAATCATGCGGGAAGTCTCAGCTGCGACTCGAAGCGAGGTAATAATCTTCACTCTTTTATATTAATCCTACCTTTTCGCTGTGCACAATGTGTGAAAGTATGGATAGTGGGGACAAGTTCATAATTCTTCCCGATACCTGCAAGATGTAGGCTATGAACTTTTGTCATTAATTTAATGTATTTTTGGCTCGAGTCATGAATGTTGATTCAATTTATGGCTTGAGTTTCCTCCAGCTTAGATGTCTAAGCTCTTCCGTCAGGAGTATAGCTGAGGATCCTCACCTTCTAATCAATACGTTTACGTCCGATATGCAGTTGTAAATCGGTTTATTTACAATATGTCTTTTTGTAGGTTAGAAAACTTACGTCTGTTAACATCTGATCGCTGAAAGCAATCAATTATTTTTCCTTCAGCCATTATGTGACATTCTTACCCTTGTTGTTCATCTCGATATATTCCTAATATGAGGCCCTTCTTCCACCAAGAGACCATGTTACTCTTTCTTGCGGTAATCCCATTAGTCTAACGAGTCTCTGTGAGCCTTTCTTTCCAGGTATGTTAAAATTATTGATTTTCCAATTTTGAGACAATACTTACCAGTAAATTATGTCCGCATATTTGTATTCCATGAATAAGTAATCTGTATGGTTTCTACAGAATAAGGAATAATTTCTGAACAGAGTCTTGTTAACTAATTTTTTTTAGGACGAAAGACCTAATTTTGAAAAGAGTGAGAGAAAAGTAGATTTTATCCCCACTCTATTTTTACCCAGAAATCTAACTTTTTCATCATGAAATTCTTGACTGATCAGATCCAGAAGAAACTTCAGCTCCGTGATATGAAGAGTTTTAGGGTGAATGTATTTGAACAGCTCCATCGGCTGAATAGTGGGTTGATTAGTTTTAATTATTTTTTCCGTAGGTATTATAGTATGAATTACCCAGTCCAATTTTATTCGGAAGTCTGAAAGAAAAGAATGACTTAGAAACATTGCTTAGCGCAATATGGTATACTTAGATGAAATCAAAAGGTTTTTTTTTCACCTTAATCAAGTTACTAAGTATCATTTTTTTTAATGATTTTTCCAAGGAAAACTCTAGTAATGTAAAGAAAAAGTCAGGGAAAGTCTCCGATTTTTATACTAAAAACAGTTACTACCTAAGGGTATTTCATATGACTAATAGAGTTGCTAGATTTTAAATGACTAGCAGTATTAGTCAGTTGAATTGCCGGAAGTAAGAAATGAGTGAAATATAGGAGCTTCATCAGGCTGTATGTTTTTGTACGGAACGTAGAAATCAGTTTTTGAGGAACAGCTAATTAAATGCTCAAAACGTTTTATCAGTACCAATTATTGGTGAGAACTAGTGTTGGTCAGTGCGCTTATCTCTAGTATGAAGAAGAGCTAGTGATAAGTTATTGCATAATTCAACCAATATCACCCATTTCTTTAATTTTACGATCGGATTTTAACATGCGGTCCTCTCCTCCCTCGTTCAAGCGTTTTTTCTACAGGTAGACATGCACTGTTGTGTGAGTCAGTTCAAGGATAATAATCAGACCTATGATTTGTAAAATCATGGCCCTCCTCTCCTTTTTGCTCTTTTCTTCATGTCTGGGTTGTCAAATTTTTCAACTATTGCCCATGTTTCAATCATAGATTTTACACATACTCTGTTCTGGTATCTTGATGGTGAAATCATGAAAACGTGTTTCTCTGTAAGCAGTGTGGGAAATTACTTATCACATTTTGTTTATACTTACCTTAAGTATGCACGTTTTGTAAAAAACAGTGTTGCCATGCTATTGAGTCACACAACTTTTCATAGTCATACACACTTGCTTGGATTTTAGTTTTTGGTGAATCAACTTCAAAACTCAATCATACACTTTCAGGCATTGATTTAATTCCTGTCAATCAAATTTTTTAGAAACTAACTCAAATTGATCTTATAAGTAACAGGGTTTCCACTGTCAGGGAAAACCGGGAAATGTCAGGGAATTTTAAAAAGTCAGGGAAAACCAGGAAATGTCAGGAAAAATGACAAAAATGTCAGGGAAAATTCGTTTAATCACCTTCATTTGATTTCTAGTATGGGTTTGAGGTTTCGAACAACAAATTTTCTCTAAAAACTATTTTCATTTATGCCCTCTTAACCATCCGTCACATCTACAATTGTAAGGAAATTTTACCAAAATGTGTCATGGAAATCGGGGAATTTCATTCTCTAAATTCTGTGGCATCCCTGAATTAAGTCGTCATTTATTAATGTGGTATATACTTAGATATATAGGACTACTTACCTTATATTAACTTTAAACATCAGAAACCTGAAAACAGCTGGTTGAGCACAGTCAGTGATTTGAAATTTAGAAATTTGTATCCCTAAATCAATGAATTTTTTGGCATATTTAGAAATGGAGGAATTTTTCGAAAAATTCAAGGGACTTTTTCGTCAAGAAAAAGCAGATATTGAATGGCTCCGTTTTCAATTTCCATTGCTGCTTGAAAGAAAATGTGTCGATATCAGTTAGTAATTTTTTTGCAAACGTTTGGAACATATTGTTTCTAGGCAAGCTAAGTACGAATAGTAGTTTATTGTTGCAAAACGTGGTTTAATTGACCATCTGCCTGGTCATTCGGCGAAATTGCCGATTTTACTTTTATTCTGCGACGGATACGTCGAATACCAGTGTTCTCAATCCCACGATGAAATGTCGATTTTCTGACTACATTTTGCCATCAGGAACTACAATTTTTAGCCCATCCGTATAAACACTCATGTGCACAGAGAAACCAATGGTACATACGTCGTTTCTCAACTGAGCCAGATATTGTAGTTCCATAGTACAAAACGCAGTTCAATCACTGACTATCTGCCTGGACGTTGGACAGAATGGCTGATCAGGCTGATATTTTGCGATGGATACGACGCGTCATGAGACGGCGTGATCAAGCGATTTAAGTATCTGTTTCTTTTTTGCAAAATCTTGGGATTTTTGGGGGGGGGGGTATTCGAGCTGATTTCGGGACATTTGGGGGATACTTAATTAAATCTAGGAGTTCACGGATTTTCGTATTCAGTGATTTCTATTTAGATCACCAGCGGCGAGTTTCCCCCAGCACCTCCTATAGGCAGAAGAAGCGAGAGTATTTCAAATTTTAAAATGTAGTTTAATTGGACTACGTTTTGCAATCAGAAACTGCAATTTCTACATCATCAGTAACACCACTTTTGTGCGTAGGGAAACCAATGGCACATAATTTCTTTCTGAACTGAGCCAGAAATTGTAGATCTTAATTGCAAAATGTAATCCAATTGACGAGCTGTCTGGCTGCTATTTCGCAGCAACTCTTATAGGTAGGCCTAGAAAGAGAAAGTATTTCAAACTGCAAAATATAGTTCAATTGGACTACGTTTTGTAATCAGAAACTACAATTTCTACATCATCGGCAAAAACACTTTTGTGCGTAGGGAAACTAGTACTACATACTTCCTTTCTGAACTGATCCAGAAATTGTAGTTCCTAATTGCAAAATCCTGTCCAATAGACTACTAGACAAGGTACGAATTTAAGCATTCTGATACATGTTACTTATCCAGAATTTCACGTAAAACACGATTTGCGCAACGAAAATTACTGAAACCAACTCCTGACGAAGATAATAACGTTTTTATTTCACATTGGTTACGAGGAATTTGAACTGCCCGCTCACACGAAACTCAAAGCTCTACGTGAGTCAAATCGCTTACTACAACGGTTTCAGCAAGCTTCTCAATTGAGCAATGTTCATTTCCCACCATGTGTTGTTCAAACTATACGCAATTTGCCGTAACTGAGCCAAAGCGTCAAGATCGACATTGCCAGATTTTTATATCACAGAGACTGTCATGATAACGTTTAGCGCGCTATGTGAATCACGTAGAGCATTGAGTTTTCATGAGCGGGTAGTTTGAATTCACGCACCCAGAATCATTAAATATCTTCGTAAGAAGTTGATTGATATCGGTAATTTTTGTTGTGCGCATCGTGTTCTACGTAAAATTTTGGTTAAGAAACATGTATCGGCATGCTGAAATTCGCATACCTTGTCTAGTGGTCCATTGACTATTAGTTTGACTGTTGTTTCGCAGCAACTCCTATAAGCAGAGAAAGAGAGAGAATTTCAAACTGCAAAATATAGTTCAATTGGACTACGTTTTGCAGTTAGGAACTACAATTTCTACATTATCCATGGAAACACTTGTGTCCAGGGAAACTAATAGCACATACGTTCTTTCTGAAGTGAGCCAGAAATTGTAGCTCAAAATTGCAAAATGTAGTCCAATTGACTATTTGTTTGGTTGAATTGGCTGCTATTTCGGTGCGGATGCGCGGAATGGCGATGTGATCCCGCGGTTTAAATGTCAATGAAGATGTTGCATATGTGAGGGATTTGCGATTTGACTGTTGTTTCTTATGTAAAAGTTCGCAAGAAATACGATGGTACCACTGGTTTTCTGAAATCATCTCCCAAGCTCAAAAAAAGCTCTCAAAGTGAGGCTAGAATGGAGGGGATATCCCACGCTATCCTGAGAGTCCACCTCTATATCAAAACGAACTCTCCATGCAAAGATGGGGAGCAAATACATTGACAGGGCTGCCACTTTATTTGGGAACTCCAAAACTGAAAACACGGCAACCCTGCCAATGTATTTGCTTCCTATCTTTGCATGGAGAGTTTGTTTTGATGTAGAGGTGGACTCTCATGGTAGGGTGGGATATCCCCTCCATTTTGGCCTCACTTTGAGAGCTTTTTTTGAGTTTGGGAGATGATTTCAGAGAAAACCAGTGGGACCATCGTGTTTCTCGCGAACTTTTACAGAAGAATCAATGGTCAAATCGCAAATCCCTCACACAAGCAACATCTCCATTTCAGGGTTTTCCGGATTTTCGCGAAATTTAGCGATTGAGAATGCCCTCCCAGCAACTCCTTGAGGAAGCGGAAGGAGGTCCTAGAGATCCGGGAACCGTGGAGAAATCTCCAGGCCGTC